TTTCACTTGTCTGTTTTCTTTTTAAAAAGCCATTTTGATTTTTTTTAAATTGGAAGAGCAAAAACTAACAGAAAATGAGAAAAGCGAGAAGCTTTAAAAAATAATACAAAGTGAAAAAATATAAGCAAGTATAAATAAATTAATACTAAAAATTTTTAGGCATTCTCAAGCATACATGCATAACCAGTCTCATCTTCAAAAAGAAAAAAATATAAATTAGAAAAATGAGTGAATTACACCTATTATTAGGAACTTATTAACTGGGAGTTATCTCCCCTTAATATAACAACTGAACATTGTATGATATTCAGTAGTTTTTATATATCTAGTTTGAGAACTCAATGTGCCAGAAGACGTTATCCAAATCAGTCCCTTAGACTAAATAAATAAATTATGCACTTAAAAATTCATTTTATAGCCAACCACAAACATTTCTAGAGAAGAGGCTTGTTGCCTTTCAAGCACACTTACCCAGAGGCATGAAGGAGAAGCAGTCACTCTTTTTCAAGAGTCCATTTGATAAGAGTATTCACAATTCAATCCCCAGAAAGAACAGTGACAAAGAAAACAAAAGGTCGACAACATTTTTAAAAGTAAAACTTTTTTTCTTTTTCTTTTTTCCAGAGAATCATTTGTCAGTCATTTTCTTTAAAATTAAGTTTAGATTAAGATCATCATGTGTCTCCTAGCCAAATATAAAGGCTGATTATAGTTAATCTTACTGGGGGAAAAAACAAAAACCTTAGAAAATATTTTCTTGTTCATTTGCAACAAATCCTCCCACTTTTTTTTAACATTCTAAACTAATTAAAAATTCATCTAATATTTTTAATTATTTTTTCTTATTTCTAAGGAATTAATAGCTTTTATTTATAATCTAACATTATTTCATTTTACTTAACATTACAGAAGATAAACACATTTTAGTAGATGGCATGTTTGTCTTTTTTCTTGAAAAGTCAGGTTTCTGATAAAGAAAAAATTTATTTCATTGTATTATGATTCTGATACATCTGAATAATGCATAACTGAAAATTCATAATTTCTCCTATAAACAAATCATGTTAAGGTGATGTATTTTATTTACAATCATTAGTTTCAATAGACATTACTGTTTTGATTCCTTTTCCCCTTTTAATAAAATCAATAAAAAAAATAATTCCTGCACATGTCGACTATAAATATGACCTCAAACCATGGTTCGTGAAATTATATTTTGTATTAAAACTTTTAAAATAATGATGATTCTGTACCACAAAATATTAGTTTCTTTGTTAATTTTTTTTATGATTCGGGATGAATAAATCCAATAAGTTGATTTTATTTTCCATCTTGTTTTGGATCAAATAGTGTTAGAAAACTTAAATACTACCAACAGTCATGAGATCAGGCAAATTGACTTTTCGGTTTCTGTTGGTTTTTTTTTTTTTTTTTTTTCCTTAATTGATTTTATATTATCAACATAAAATTCTTGATATTGATATAAATTTGGTTTTCAAGAAAAAAAGACGAAAACATGAAAATTCTAAGTTTAATATTTTTAATTGACATCTTAATTTTCATCTATCATCGATTTGGCTATATTCAGTAAAATATTTACATTCTATTTTATATTTTTAACCCCAAATTAATTTTGTAAAATGGAAAGCCTTTTAATTCCTGATTTTTGTGTTTTACTCTTGTCTAAGCTATAATAGAATGAAAGTTTTATGAAATAGAGAGTAAACATTTTGGGACAATGAGTGCCAATGTCTGGTTTTAAAAAATTAGCCATTCTGAAGCAAAAAGTTTGGAAAGAGATGGTTTAAATCATCAATCAATGAATATTTGACGGATTTGATTTTTTGGGGGGAAAATTCCAGAAATCTCTATAATAAAAAAAAAAAATTTTAGATCACAAACTTCCCTTAGAAATCTTTTCCTTTTACTTAATAGTAATTGACAAGGAAAAAAACAAACATTATTTTAATTTCATTTGTGGATAAAATGGGGAATTAAAAATCCAAACTTTGATCTTAATAATGGGTAAAAAATTGTTTGAATTTTTTTTTTTTTTTATGGCAGTCAGCACTTATGATAAAAAAAATGAATTTTGTCAATACATAAATTCTAAACAGATCTGTATAATGGTTGAGAATTGGAAAAACAGGAATCAGAAGTTGATATCTTCCCTGGAAGCATTTGGGGAAACAGACATAGCTAGATACATTGCATTATCGATATAAACAATACACATCTATATAAACCTGATCGAAATGTAGAATGGCATATTCAATTTAGTGAATAGAAAGGATTTATTATTTTGTTGCACATGATTATCAGTTTGCTCTCATGTTGCTAAAATGATGATACAAAAGACTGTTACACTATCCCTACCAACTATCTTTTTTATTTAATCCTCATATTTTGAAAACCCCTTTATTGACAAGAGCTTCTCAAATGAGAGTAATATCAAAGACAACTCAGGGTTTTTTTATGAAGATCTATCTCACAAGAGAATTGCTGATTTCTAGACAAGATGTTAATTAATATACTGAATGAAGAAAAAATTGCAACATTTTGTGGTCAAATTTACTTCAGGTTAAACATAAAGGTAATATAGTTAATTACAGTCAATGATCATATATATATAGATCCATACTTGCACCAGTTCCAAAATAAGTAATGTATAAACAGTACTCACACTATATAGATAAACTGTATATCCTCTTCTGGTATTAACAATCCTGTACTCACACATGCATAAAATTCTACAGATGATAACTATCATCCTGCAATACATGCCGCTTTCACCTGTTGATACAATACAGTTTGTAGTGTTGCCCAATCATGTTTTATACAGGTTCAATGGTTGGCAGGTGCCATCAAGGGAAATTGTTGAGCATCTTACTAAGCATGTTGAGCAGATCAGGCATCATAGTGGTAGGCATTATTCTGCTGAAAAAGCACACTGATTTCATGTTGCAGGAATGGCAGCAGAACAAGTATTTTCAATGTTCTGGACATATATGGTGCTGTTCAACATTTCTTCTCAACACAAATAAAGGGTGTGGCAAAAATACCTCCCACATAATGGTATTTCTGCTGCACCCTGTATAAACAAGAATTGTAACATGGCATTCCACCCCCACAATGCCAGTTGGGGGTTGGACCCTGTGTCACAAGAAATGCTCATTGGAAATGTCATGTTTGTTTACATTGCACATGCAAATGACCATCACTTGCAGAGAGTCAAAATTGCTCTCATCACTGAACATTACCATTCAGAGCCCCTGGTGGCCATTTCATAATACAACTGGAGACCTGCATAAAAGTCCTGTAGTCTGGTGAGAATTATGTTTATCCTTAGTCCTACTGCAAGCAAACAATTCTCACTGATCTGCATAGACACTCTTGGGATCTTATTTACTCTGATCTCTGTGTACATGACCATTGCTGTCCCCTTGCAGTGTGTCAATTTTGGTTTGTATCTGTGCTATATCTAGAATCTGGCCTACAGATGCAGAAATGTGCATTTGACCATAATTGCCAAAAGGTACTCTCCTCTGCACCTCTATTGCATGACATCTGATCATACAGAGCTCTCTCACTACATTGAACCTTATTACAACATGTATTATTGTTGAAAGGTCTGACACATCTTTATGTCTTGTACCAATCTGTTTGAAGGCTTTGAAAATCTTATCAGAACATTTACTATTGCCTAGCATGTCTATAAGGTCTAATTAAAATCAGGATTTCTATCTGAATTTCTGGGATGAGGAGTTATTTACATGCAGGCCATTGTCCCCATAAAAGGTTATCCAGACTGACAAGCACTTGATGAAGGCTGGAGGGCACAACAGCCAAAACATCGTGATAACAGCAACAAATATGGGGCCAATAGTCTGTCCTTCAAGATGTTGCAAATTCATTTTCCGTCAGATACCCAGAGTTAATATTTTGATTCAATAATGAGGCGGGAGTAGGTAGTGTATTAAACTTAAAATATATCAGCAGTTTTATGTAAAACACTATCAAATCTTTAAAAAAATATATCAGTATTTTTTTTATGTGGTTTTCTTCGGATTCCTTCCTTTCTTCCTCCCATTACATACAACGTTTCAGCCGTGTACTCTCCGGTCATGTTCCGGTATCTTTTGGGTTTCACTCAGGAATGTCAAATAGAGTGAGAAGAAAATGAGTAGAGAGAGAGTTATACAATGATTTAAAAAAACACTAAGGAAATTTCGACAATGAGGAAAAAAATCGTAGGGAGAGTAGAGACATGACAAAAAAATTAAGATGGGCTCTGGACACAATTCTGGGTAAAAATAAATGATAAATTAAGGAAAAAAAAATTTTAACGCTCTGCCCCAAAATGTCAAATATGTGAAATATTTTTGTGTTTGTGCGTCTTAAATTCAAAAGTTAATTAAAAAAAATTTTAAAAATGAAATTACAAAAAAAAAAAAAAAACAGACGGAAAAAAATAAGCGGCCAAATAAATAAATAAGGCAATTAAGGGAAGCAAGTATTTAAAAATAAACAAGCAAGGAAAGAGGAAAGGAGAAATAGTTCAACAAGTCATATACTTTTTATTCTCGCTGACAACACACGCGGTGATTCTGTTCACTTAACCACTTCCCAACTCTCAATATAAAAGGACATTGGCAGTTTCACAACCATTACTACTATTCTTCTCTTGTCTAGCAACCACCACCACTACTACTATATTACTATAACACAACAAACTCTTCAACTGCTGTTGCTGGGCTTAATAAGTCAATGGCAAAGCAACAGAGTATGACCAAGCCTCAATTTATGATTGGTCATTCGTTTTGGTGATGTGTAGATTAGTTTGTAAATTTAAGTATATCATCATTCATCATAGTGCTGGTAGATTTTTTTAATGTTTACAGTGTACTGTTGTTGTTGCTGCTACTGCTGATGATGGTGGTTGTTGTTAACAAGGAAGAACGGGGTGAAGGCACTGGCTTCTCTGGTTCTTTTCAATTCACATGGAAGTGTTCAAGAGGAAAGACACGCCAGCCACTGTGGGCAGCGGCAGAGGCAAGAAGAAGAATAGCAACAATAAAGCAGACGTCAGAAATCCCAGCCAAGTTCAACTTGTTGGATTATCGACAACATATCTGTCGTCATCATTACTAGAATTATTCCCAACGCCAACATCTGACTTATCTCGTCACTGCTACGCCTGCAAAAGAATCTATTTTGATATTAAAAGGAGAAAGGTGAAAAAAAAGAGAACAGACCTGTCGAGTTAAGAAGAATAACAGAGGTACTGGCTTCTCTAACATCGTTTTACTTTTCACAAGCCGTGTTCAACAACAAAAAAAAAACATATATCCCCACCAAACAGTTGATTTGATAACTTTTTAACTTAAGTCTCGACACAATCTAAAAAGAAGGAAAGAAACAACTTTTTTTTTATCTTCATGTGTCTAAAATACACGTGGCACGAAATTGTTAAAAATGAAAGTGTAAAAAACTAAAAAAGGAAGAATCTATTTTAAAAAAAAAAAAAAAAAAAAAAGAAGAAAAAAGTCAAAACAAATAATAAGGATCAACTTTTTTTTTTTTACCACGGGCTTCTTAACAATTTTTTTTTCCCTTCTCTTTTTTTTTTTCATTCATTCATGTTTTCACTTTTCGTCCAGTGCGCGGATAACAACAACATTAACAATACAGAGCATAAATTGAAAACTTTTTTATCAGTTTTCGGAACTTTATCTTCAACAACACATCACATTGTGATTGGCATCATTGTTCTCATCATAATTGTTATCGTCGTTACCACAATTATTGCCGACTCTTTGGATTACAAGTTTTGGGGTTTCACATTTCTTCACGGCAACAGCTACACGCTTCCACCACACAACGACAACATGGTCCACTCGAGAGACGAAAGTTTTGAGACAGAATTCATAGATGACACTTTCTACCTAAGCTGTAAGCTGCATTTAATTTAAGTTAAAAATCCAATTTAACTTTCTTTTTCTTTTTTTCTTAACCCCATCCTTTATTGTACACTACAGGTTTGTTTTTTTTTTATTACTTTTTTTTTTCAATCATGGAAAGGGAGCGAAATGATTTTACTTTTATAAAGAAAAAAAAGTCATCGTTGCATTTAATTTTTACACACAAAAAAAACAAAACAAAACATCGTTTAGCCACAGGTCTGTTTTTAGTATTAAAATTAAAAATCTAAAAATTCAAAATGTTTTATTCAAAGCTGTGTGGCAGATTTCTAAAAGAAAAATATTTAGTTAGTGATCGTTTAAAAAGGCATGAAAAGGTTATTCGCCATGCAACGTTGATTTCTCTGTCCATCTACTTTATTTCTGATATTGAGCACCCCCCCAAAAAAATACAGAAAATGTTAAACAATGTGTGTGTGTGTGTGTGTGTGATATAAAAAAAAAATGTAAAAATCTTTATTCTTCCTTACTCTACACTACAGTCTCGATCTGTGATTTATTTTTTTAGAATTCCTTAGTTATTTATTTCGGTTAGAACCTAGTTTACCCACGCAGTAAACCTAATAAAAAAAAAATAATTTTAAATATTTGTCACCACATGAATAGAATAATTTATTTCCGTGTGTGCATAATGAGGCATATATACACATGTCAAACTACAATTCTTAGTAAAAGTATGAATTTCTTCAAGGAACTAAATTCCTTGTTTTACGCAACACAACTGTTGGCCTCAAAAAACGAACGTTTAAACGAGAACACTAACTTAAGCACTGCAAGTGTTTGTTAGTTGGCTTTTGGTTTGGTTGGTTCTGTTTCTGCTGTAATTATTGCTAGACTAATTACCCAAGTATGAAGAGCTTTTCTAAGTTAAAAACTTGTTACCACAAAAAAAAAAAGAAAAAAAATGATATCAAACACAAGAAAGACAAAAAAAATGAGCTCCCTTATTTTCTTCAGAATGTAATTTATAAATTTTAAAAAATGTGTAAAAAAAAAACTTGAAATAATATTATTTCCTCCTTAATAAGTTATTGCTTTTACATCATAAAACTGTTTCCTATGAATAATAATCAAGCAAGGTCATTTTTAAAGGACTTAGAATGACGGTCATTGACATTCATCGTATATGATTATTTGAGTGAGTGAGGGGGGGTAATTTTTTTTTGTTTTGTTTTTACAATAAGAATGACTTGAAATAGTTTATTAGTGAAGTTTCAATCACTTAAATTCCTTTTTAAAAACAATTTTGTTTCTCATTGATTAATTTGATTCTTTTAAAATTTTGGGGGGTCTTTTTCAGTTTTAATCAATGTATAGGAAAATCCTTTTAATTGTTGAAGTTTCTCTATGATAATATTAGTTGTTTCTTTATAAGGAAACATTCAGGATTCATTGACCAAGCAACTATTTTCACTTTCAGTTAACATTTATAAAATCTTTCAGAAAAAAAGGTCTCTCAAGTCCAGTAACTGATGTTGCTCTTTCCACTACTGAAAGAGGGGTTTCCTTCCTAACCTTTTGTTTGTAGTAGGTTCGTAATGTCTACATCTTGATTATGTTGTTATTTTCTCCTCAAAGTCAAGTGATGTGGTTTCCGTTATTTAGTAGAGTGTAAGAAATTTGTCTCAGCTTTCCTACATAAAATGGTTATGGTTAAAGGTGAGAGAATCGATAAAAGCAACAACAGCTTGAAAGTTTAGAGCGGACAATTCTCTTTTAGACAGAAGAATAAAGACTTAAACTCCTGCTCAGGGTGTAACAATAGAAGAAAATGTTTATTTACATACACAAAAAAGGTAAAGGGATATACACAAAATATAAGAGAAAGAAAGGGAGAAAAAAATTCCTTTAAAAGAAGAAAAAGTGTTTATATAAAGGCTTGCTCAAAATATTTCTTTGTGTGCCTAAAAGTTCTTTAAGCAAGTAAATTGTTCTTAAGGGCTTAAGACTCACATAAGATTTCTTCAGAGCTCTTGTTGATGGGGAAACAATTGGAAGATCTGTAGTTTGTAGTTAAGTGAGCTCGTAGTAGGAGCCAACAACAGGAATTTCAAGATCCTAGAAACAGATCTCAAGTAGTTTTAGTCAAGGGCCGGCAAAGCCCATCATGTAAATTTCTTACATGAAACAGGTTCTGAAGATGATTGGTGTTACTGTTGCCAACCTGATGTTATCATAGACAATGTCAAATACTCACTGCCAAAGACATGCATATTCTCCATATTTATGAGATTAAAAGGCTCAGAAACTTTTCCCTCCAAAATTGCTATACACTTTCCCTGGGCCCTCTCATTTGTCAGATAAGAATCAAAGGTTTGGGAGATGGCTTTGGAAGCAAGGGTCCCTGGGTGTGTGTTTTTCTCCAGATCCACCCCCTACTCCACCCCCGATTTTATGGCACCATGGTCAATGCAGGGGTGGTCAAATTCCTTTTTATATTTTCTAGCTCTCTCATTTATCAGAAAATATATTTTTATCTCTGATACAGATCAAGGTTTTGGGAGCCGGTTTTGGAAGCAGGGGTGAAATTTGGGGCAAAGATCAGACAAGAAACTGGAATGTGAACTTATAACTCATTGTAGTAGTGGTTCTCAAATTAAATTCTAATAAGTTCTTTCTTTGTGATTCTGTAAAGCACCAATCCACAAGGTTCAAAAAAGAATCATCCATTACATATGACATTAGGATTTTTCATTTTAGTTGTTACTGTTATGGAAAGTTATGTAGTTTCTGTTATTTGGTACGGTTCTTTGTTTATGATTCTGTAGAGTGCCAATCCACAAGGTTCAAAGAAGAATCATCCATTACATATGACATTAGGATTTTCACCTGTAAAACAGTTGGCATAGTAGTAATAATATTAATAAGAGAAGGATGGATTTTAATGTTTTCTTTAGAATTGGTTCTCCCAGTTTTATTCATTCATCATGAACATATTTTTCAAATTGGGTATGACAAGATGAAAGTCTTTCCAGACAGAAAGAATTAGTTTGTAATCTTTGTTGATATTTGATGATACTTTAACCATTATTTATTTTGACTTTTCATAATTGCAGTTAATTCACCACATCCTGTCGACATTTATTCTCACACTGTTTTCATTTTGCTTCCAAAAGTGCTCAAATATTGAAATGCAAACTTTTAAAAAAGAAAAAAAAGAAGCTATCCTGTAATAATGAGTTTTTAATAGTCAATGTTCAACTAAAATTGCTAATGTTTTTTGTCTCCTACCCCTTGTCTTAACTTTTTCTCCATCTGAGCAATACGTTTACAAGATCTGAGTTTCTAACTCGTTTTAAAGTTAGGTATAGCTTCTTTTTTTTTTATTTATGAAATAATAAATATTAATAAGAAAAAGAGCAAGGTGCTGATTTACAGGAGCTAAATGCACTGAAAAAGAGCAAAGATCAAGCAGCAAATGAACTAAATTGGCAACTCTGTATGAAATGAATTCTTGATAGAAAAAATAAGAAAAATAATACATAACCAGAAAATGTTTATGTGTTAACTAGCAAATTGCTCATAAAAGTGCCTTTGAGAAAAATTCTTTTCAACCTTGACAGACTGAGGAACACAATTGAAATAGATAATCTTTAAACAGTAAGAACTAATTATTAATGTTTATGCTTAATCTACAAAGAATAGGATCTTATCAATCAGTAAAAATAAGGAACATTCAAAATGTGGTTCTCTGCTTGCTTGCTTCAAATCAGAATGTCACTGGAGTTAAAAATAGATCTTGCAGTTTCTTACTGTGATTTTTGAACCTTTGTTTATGATTCTGTAGAGTGCCAATCCACAAGTTTCAAAGAAGAATCATTCATTACATATGACATTAGTATTTTCTTAGTCAAATAGCAGACAAAATAGTCACAAAAGTTTTGTTGTTAGACATTAAGAGTTTTTCAAACTTACTATTTTGATAGGTGTTTTATTGGGAGTTTTCCCTATACAACAGAAATCACATATTTCTCCTCCAATAAATTTTAATTGTCAAATTAAATCAGTTGGCAATTTAATAAAAAGACAACATTTCTTTCATCTAGGAAGAAATATTTAAGCTTGTGTGTGTGTGTGTATGTAATTGGGCAGCAATCCCACTTTTATATAAGTTTCATTAAAAACAACTGACAAGATACTGTGGATAAGTTTTTTTATTTAATATTTCTTGTGTACTTATAATTTTCTTCTTTTCTGGACATAAATTATGTAGAAATTGTCCAAATGTTCTGTTAAAAGTAAAAATGAAATCATCCTTGATAATGACTAAAAGTATTTCTGAAAATGCTTGAACACAGAACTTTCAGACAATTTCTACATAATTTATGCTAGGAAAAGAGAATAAGGACACAAGAAAAATTAAATGAAAAGATTTAACCTCAGTATTTCGCCAGTCATTTTTAATGAAAGGTTTGTGTGTTTAAATTTTCAATTTTTTTTGCCATAACCATTGATAAATACTTTTAAAAAAAGTTTGTTATATAAGGTGTTGAAGGTGAAGAAATACTGTAATTCTCCATGTATAATACGCCTTCATCCATAATACGCACACCTAAAATTGTACTGGAAGTGTGAGAAAATGCTTCTCCTCATGCATAATATGCACCTCTTGTTTAGTAATCATTACAGCCAGTGATTCCTACTCTTATTTTAAAAAAAAAAAAGAAGCTTTTAAACATTGAATATTGTTATTATTTAGTTTTATGATAATTCTTATTTTATTTTACGGCAATTTTTTAAGGATTTTTTGTAGCTGTGCATAATACACACCCCTGATTTTGTTTATTTTTATAAAAATGCATATTATACATAGGGAATTACAGTATATGGTCAGTTGAGGTATAAAATTTTTGTATATAAATGTTTCTATAAAGAATTGCTTAAATTTTGTTTTCTTTTTTAATTAATATTCACCCACTACAAGGCCCAAAAGTCACTTAAGAAAGAGGGTTGCTGTGTAGTGTGTTGTAT